GACGCTCTTGCCGCTCTCACTCGTGACCAAAAGCGCTTCAACGACACTGATAACATCATCGACGTCCAAGTCGGGTCACAGACGACACTTTGGATCACCAATTACCCGCCCACTGCGGATGAGGACTTCCTCCGCAACCTTTTCAGCAAGGTAAGTGCTTCAGCCTAGCCTTTGTGACATCGCTAACTTTAGCAGTATGGTGAAGTACTCGATGTTCGCATGCCGTCTCTCAAGTTTGGCACTTCCAGACGCTTCTGCTACTTGCAGTTTGATACCTCCAGTGCTGCGCACCATGCGACGGAGCTTCATGGAATGCGATTTGAAGATGGTATGAGGCTCACTGTGAAGATATCCAACCCTGAACAAAAACTTCCCCGCAGTGGTCCCAGATACGAAGGACGAGAAATTTATGTTGCAAATATTTCCTGGGATGCCAGTGAAAAAGATGTGAAAGAACTATTCTCCAAATTCGGCGAAATCGAAAGGGTCTTGATTGAGCAAAAGATTACCGGTGGTAGTAAAGGATTCGGCTTTGTTACTTTCGCTACTAAGGACGCTGCCAAGGACGCCGTTGCAATGAATGGTCAAACGTTCAGGTCACGTCCTCTGTACGTTGAAATAGCTTCGACCGACACTCGGCGTGGAAACCAAGTCATTATCTCGAGAGTTGCAGCACACCCGGCGGACTACGGTGTCAGTGGCCTTGAAGTGCCGGTTGGTGATCATGCACAGCGCACACTTGCTTTGATGAACGTTCCCGATACCGTCAATCAAGCCCGCATCCGTGCCCTTGTCGAGCCATATGGGCGTTTAGTCGCGATCAATTTGCGCCCAGAACATCAAGGTGCTATTGTGGAATATGTCGATGTTCAGAGTGCCGGCAAAGCTACGTTGGCGCTCGAAGGGAAGGAGATCACTGCTGGACGCCCCCTTCATATCGGCACAGTTCGAGAGATGATGAATTTGCCCCCCCGAAGTCAAAACAGACCTGGGGCAATCCGTCAAGCAAGAAAACAAAACGAAGAAGACGAAGCTACAATCTACCGGGCCGATTAGACGCCCGCAGCAGCCTGGCGCTCGCAAGGGTGGTCTTGGGATGAAACGACAGATCGCACCTCCCGGTCCGACCCCATCTACCGCTAATCAGGTGAGTGAGAAAATGGACACGACCCCGGACGGCGAGAGCAAACCGAAAAAGAGCAACGATGATTTCCGCGCTATGATCCAACAAAAGCGTCCGGAATGAAGTGCCAGTGCAATGACCGTGACAATTCCTGGCGCAATTTCTTTTTTATTTCTTCTTCCTTTTTCTACGGGATGTATCCGGTTGGCGTTTTACTGTTTCCTGGTGGTCATCTTGATGCTTCCTTTTAGATCCGCATGTATTCATCCGGGTCGGTCTTTTGCGTCATGATCTCTTATTGTTTATGGCACATGCCGTCGTGTACATTATGACTGTATCTTGCTCTTAGTTCTAATGATGATGTCTGTTCCAAAGGGCTGTCTGTTGAGACATTGCCCCGATGACTTGAAAGTTGTGTGGTGATGGTATATGGTAAATTTTTTATTTTGTATTGATTCCTTATACAATATACATATTAGATATATATATATTATATGTAGGATGTAGGATGTAGGGGTGATAGATGAAGTACGCATTGACGTCAATCGGCTTGGCCTCCTTGGCCTCCTTGGCCTCCTTGACCTTGAATTGTCTGCGGGGAAAGAAATCCCCTTTTGAATCCAGTTGAGTCCAGTTGATTCATTCGGATGTTGCACAGAGCGATTTATTGTGACCAAACAATATAACCCTTTTGTTATCTCCCCTTATAACATTCATTCCCCCCTAAACTCCTTAAACTCCGCGTGACCCTCCAAGGGGAGCTGTCTCTTATCTGACCCGATTAACCCACCCCGTCTAGTACTTCCTATCCCTTCCCTTGCCCGCATCATTTCTATTTCCTGTGTCTTGCTTGGCGTCTATTGACACTTCTCAAACTCTTCACTGCTCTACACTCGATGTGCAGGGCTGGCACCAAGCATCGTGAACATCCCACGCCATCCCATCCTCTGCAGCGATGGACTTCCACCTAGTGCCTCGCGGTACCGATCGGAACTACACAGGATTCCTCACAAAGACGATAATCTATATTGGGACACTAGTGATATTTTTGGCCTGTAGGCAGCTCTCATCTCTCTGCCCTCAGCTAGGCATCTGCATTGACTAACAAAATCTCCCAGCATTTGGCTTGACAGTATCCTCGATCGTCATTCCAAGATGGGTCAGCTACCATAGCGAAAAGGTACAACGTTCATCTCCACCCACCAACAAGCTCCCACTAACACTATGGATCTATAGCCCGATAACCATTACTCATACGGCCTCCACCGCCGCTGCTCCTCCCTCACCGATACCTGCGAGAGCTTCCCACAACGCGATGACTGTCATGGCGGAGACCGGTACTTCTGCTCCATGTGGCGCTCCGTAGGGTTCTTGATCTCCTTTGCCGTCGTTCTGCAGGGTATAAGCATAGTCACCTACCTCGTCATCCTGAGTGGCGGGAAACGGCTGCGCGAAAATGGGTGGAGTGTCCTTAGTTTGATGGTTGGTCTGTCTGCCATTGTGCAAGCAGGTGGCATGTCGATAGTGGTGGGTTGATAATCATTATTCCTATATTTGGGTCCCACGATGAATTGTCCTAATGATTTGGCTTACAGGCATATCTATTCGATAACGAGGACCGGTTCTTCGTCGGCTGGAAACTTGACCAGTCCTGGATCCTTTGCACTATTAGCTGTTGTTTGAGTGTTTTCTGCGCAGGCGTCGTTATTGTCGCTGCTAAGGTCCTACCATCAGAGGGTGGGTATGAGTTGATTCCTGACCATGATGAGTTTCAAGTCACTTGATAGCGCTCTGTGTAGCTTTCATGGCACCTGAACGAATCACGCGTCACGCAAACAGGGGAAGGAGACCTATCCAGGTACCATTGGTCCTTCACGACTTCTCATAATTCTACTATTTCAGTCCTTGCAGATTGTTGACGCTTTTCTTATCTTTCGATTTCGTGCTTCGGCGTTGGGGCTGTATACATTTTTTATTCTTCCTGGTAGGAACAACTAATATGGATAACGATTTGAATAAAATATCTCTTTGTGGGTTTGTGTATCTACAGCCAAGTTCAGTTTATCCAGTTCGAATCATATCTTCGTGAATCGTCTTTGTGACCTTACACAAACACCACCAGTGATAACCTCATCTCAAGATAGGTAGGAAAATGCAATGTGACGTAGAAAGAAGCTTCATCATTCATCCCATACAGTACATTCCCTCCGATAGGCTGAGTCGACCTACCAGAGAATTTCTTTCCCATTCAATCCCTCAACCCCCGGAATCTGTGACCGCAGCGCCTGACCATAGTCACCCCCGTTCGGTGTGCGAAGCAGAGTATGAATGTGGAATTTCTTCGGTTCCTCATTATTCAAAAACACCCCGGAATGATGATCAAACTCGACAAGAATCACCGGATTCTGAATACGGTAATAGAATGGGTCCTCATCCCCATACCCTCCAATCCAACAAAAGTACGTCTCCGCCTCATACGCACGCACCTGATCAATCTTCATAGCCCGCGATTTAACCGGCAGATAAAGCAAATATTGCTCCAGGATGTCATACATAAGCCGTTTCTGCGCGGCAGTAAAAGTCGACGCGAGAATCCCCTCATACGGCACCTCCCGATTATCACGGTACGCACCGCACAGATGGCGCTGGTCATCCTTATTCCAGCGACCGGGCGGCATGGCCGGATCCTTCATATGGACGAAGACACGAGCGGAAGCCTGAAGCTCCGTCGAGAGCGATTGCATCAACTGCAACCCGAGTCTCTCTTCGATCTGCATGATGCGCGTGCCGGCGTGCGGGCCGGCGTCGACCTCGTTCGGCTCTGCGCCTGTGAACCACGGCGACGCGATGATCTGTCCCTTGTACAAGAAGATGTTCAGGCAGAGATGGTGGCCGTAGAATGACCAGCCCCAGGGTCGGGTTGTTGATGGGCGGCCGAAGAGGACGAAGTTGTAGGAGAATTCGTTCATCACTGCTGGGGACTTGACTAGCTCGCCGAGGAAGTGGTTGATGCGCATTGCGCTCACGGCTTTTTTGTAGCCTTCTGGTGAGAGGGTTGTTTTGAGGACGGTCATTACTGCGTCCCGGGTCTCGATGTTGACTTCGTCGAGTCGGATGCCCTTGTTCGCGAGTAGGAACTCCGGATTCGACCATGTGCGCCATTGCGGGGAGTCGATGTGGTAGTTGATGGCTTCTTTTTGCTTCTCGTCTAGCAGGTCGGTTACAGCTTCTGTTGCTTCTACGATTTGTTGAATTGGGACGTCTTCTTCTTGTATTGTGAATAGACCCGGGCGGACGTTTCCTATACATGTTAGAAGCATTCTACTAGTATCCTTTTCGGTTTGGTTCATACCATCGGTGGTCACGCCTTTGAAGGGTTCTTGTAATAGCTCTAACCAATGCATATATAGTGCATGCAGCCAGGGTGGCTGATGCCCCGTCTTGAATTCGTGTGCGTACTCGTGCGCATCCTGCTGGCACATCCCCTGGAAGCGTGGGAGGCTGAGGTCAGGCAGGTACTGACGATACTCGCCTGTGGGCTTTTCCAATGTATTGGCCATAGTATAGAATGATTATAATAAAATAAATCAAAAAGAGAGAAGAAGAAGTGTGCAAGTGGTATGTTATTGAATGATTTTATATCAAGTCAACCCGAGACCCCACACCCGCCATCCCCACAAGCGTGGGGATGGGAAATTCCTTATCCGCTCGGGGCATCCGATCAGAACAGAAACCTTGAAAGATATCGATCATTTTGGTTTCATCTCAAGATCAGGGAATATCTGCTGCACGTCGATTATCAAAAGAGCAGTCTTAGCCGGATCAATGACGATGTTGTTCGCTGAACTGAGTGAACAATGTTTGCGCATCTGATTCGATGTTGAACATTTCATACACATCAACGCCGACACCCTCATTATCTGTGGCCGCAATTGGCACTGAGGTAGTTCATCCGTCCCTTGGGTTTGACTTAACAATCATTTTAATAAAGCATTCAAGACTTCTGGAAGCATTACCAGCCCTGCTGAGTTTAGCAATGTCATTGGGTTGAAGCCTGCTCGAGGTCTTATTGCAAACGATGGCACTATTCCTATCTCTGTCCGACAGGATATCATCGGAACTATCACACGCAATGTCAAAGACGCCGCATATCTTCTAAGTGCAATGGCTGGTCGGAGCGAGCACGACGAGATGACCTGGAATATTCCACAGGACCAAGCATCAGATTATACTGAATTTTGCAAAGGAACTGACCTGAGTGGAATTAGTATCGGTATCCCTAGGAACACTTTTGAGGCGAATAAGGATTCTCCAGTTGGCGGTGCATTTGAGATTGCCTTGCAATCTTTGAGTTCTGCTGGTGCAACGATAGTTGATAATGCGGACTTCCCGGCTGCTGAGGAATTCACGAAGCTGAACGAACAAGTTAAGGGTATCGTTCGATCATCGGAGCTCCGAAGGGACTTCTCCCGGTATATACAAACACTCGAAACAAACCCCAACAGTATCGGCTCTACGGAAGATCTTATTGAGTTTACCAAAACACACCCGGAAGAGGAGTATCCAGAGAGAGATATCGGCAAGTTTCTATGGACTCAAGCCGAGGGGATTGACGTGGACAGCGACAAGTATACTGAAATGGTACAGCAAGAGCGTTACTTTGGGGGATCAGGTGGTATTCTAGGAGCTATGGAGAAGTACCACGTCGATCTTTTCGTCGTTCCATCATACTGGGGTATTGCAAATGATCTTGCGGCAAAGATAGGGTCCCCTGTGATTTCCATTCCACTAGGATACTTTCCCGAAGGCACTCCTGTTGAGCTTGACCAAGGGCTAGTCGTTCAGGCGCCTGGAATGCCGTAAGAACGTCCCATACCACTTTATTGATTGGTTGTTCCTGCTAACTGAGGCCAAGATTTGCTTTGACTCTTCTTACCAAGGCATTCTCAGATGGAGTTCTCCTTGAGGTGGCTTATGCGTTCGAACAACTGAACTCCGTTCGCAACCGTGAACCAGCGCCGATCAAACTTCCTCTAACAGAGTTGAGAGATGTCCAATATGAGGTTGGGAAGATATAGTCGCTCTCATTTGATTGAGCAATTAGTGTAACTACAAACAGTGCGTTAGTCGATATGTTCTTTCTTTGTTCAAGTTGACCTTATGAAATATATTCCTAAATCAGAAGTAAGGTAAGGTTCAACTAATAAAAGCAGACATGTACAACATATATTCTAAGCGAAATATGGAGATATCAAAATTTTAAGAATGAAAACGCTTCCCGCAAGCCAAAAGAGAATAGTTGTCCCTCGTATACTGTATAGTCTCTGCCTCTTTCATCCAAAGGGTATGTGCATGATATGGTAGCATCCAGTGCATTCACCATGAAAGGACGAAAAGGATACTGAATCAACACGAGCAGATCAACCAAATAAGATCCAAAAGAGATAGAAAATAAACACAAGGAAAGAAAATCCCCGAAGATGAAGCCACAACCAGGTAGCCACCATATCCCATATCCCATATCCCATATCACATATCACATATATCTCATGAACCAAAACCCAAAACTCCTTCCAACATATAAACCGCAGTCGAATTCCTTTACCAGGAGTAATCATCCCCCACTTAGTCCAAGCGGTGGAAAATCACACCCAAACCGTCGGACTTGCCATGAGATATATCCAACCCCCGCCCTCGGTGTATCTGATATCGATATTCCTCGCACGTAAACCAAAGTCACATATCACAGATCACAGATCACAGATCATGGATTTCGTGGCTTATTCATATTGCTATCAATCCGGCCACAGCTCGTACTATCCCGACCATCCCCATATTTTGCATACGAACGAGCAACGTTCGGATCGATATGTGAAGGATGCGAACCAGACGAGCTGCGACTTAGAGAGCCGGGGGAAGACGGTGTCGAGGATCCCGGTGTTTCTGCAGATGCAGCTGTGGGGTTCGCCGTTGCTCTGGCTGCGGCTGCTGCAGCTGCGGGGTTGCAGTGTGCACAGACGAAGATGTTGAAGCCGCGACCGTTGCAGCTGAGGCAGATTGCTCCTCTGGGAAGGGGGTTAGCATTGCCTGTTGAGGGGGCTATAATGGATATATCTTGGAGCTGGTGTATGTGTATATAGTTACCTCGGGGCATTGCCTGCGCAACCTTTGCATGTCACTACCGTCCGTCCTCCGATGCAGGATATATGCTCCGGGTCAAGGTTCATCATGGACTGGGTGGAACTGGCCATTGTAATGGATGTTGGAGGTATAGGAAAGGGAAATATCAGAAGGTAAAGGGTGTATGTAGTAGATGTGGAAAATGAAGTAGTATGGTCCAAATCCACCTCATATAAAGTCCAGGTGGCTTTGTGCTATTCTTCCTGTTGGTTCTTTCTCGTAGAGGAAAACTGATCAATAAAAGAATAGCCAGTATATTGTGAGAGTCTTGAAAAAGTAGTTGGAAACAAAGGAAGACAATAGTTCCAAAGTATAGACGGAGAAAACCACGGATTTCTTATACAAGACGAAATTAATCAGTGCCACCAAGTTCCCGAGAGTTTCCAAGTGTCACATATGATATGCACCACGGAGCGTGGAATTGATGACGGGAATCAGGTTTGAGTCCATGGGGATGATCAGCAGGACAAGTAAGAGGGATGGTGATAGGACAGTTCAGGTAATGTACGTGGGAGATTTCATTTACACACTTGGCTATTTCAATCGAATCCTACGGTGATTCCCCCAAAAAATAAATAAAATAAAATAAAATAACTAGATCCCAACATGAGAGGGGGAAACGGCACAGAAACCGTTCTGGACTTAGCTGAGCTGTCAGACCCCCGCTGCCCAGGTGCTTGTGCCTGTCAAGCTAAGGTACGGAAATGCAGGGTTTATGAAACAGGAGCTGGTGGGGGATTCTGGTGTTTCTCGATCCATACAACTGGGCCTACGCCAGTTCATACATTTTTACAAAGGGTTCATTCGCTCGACATTCGGTGGGAGAACAGTGAAACTACAATACCACCAGATTGGCAAATCATAAGTTGATCTAGTGTTATACAGATAAGTCGTTCATGTGCAGCGGAAAAGATGTCCCAGGAGCATGGCCGCCATTTTGTGTCACAAACCTTGACCGCAAGACTTGGTATATACCATTATCCTCGTGGGTCAGGACGGTTGAAATGGCCACGAGTATAAGACATGAAAATTCCAACCACGGATAGCTGCATTTAACCATGCAACCATGATTTGATCTCCGAGATGATATATAGATGATAGGGGCCATACTGGCTGAGATTCTTTTCGAGGATTTAGTCCCCATGGTGGGATTCCGTCGTCAGCTCTTGTCGTATTTTCCTTGTGTCGAGAGGATCTTTCCATCTCAGCCAAATAGAGTAAAGTACCATGCATGGAAGTTTCAATTGACAGCTAGATGGTCACCAGCTCAGTTCGCTTAACATATACCGAATCAGGAACGGTATTCAAGGGCTTCTACGGAGTACACTCTCAAAGTATATCTGCCGTATCTGCCGTATCTGCTGTGAGCGATGAGAAAAACGCACGGTGACGATGTCGTGCAGGGATATCCAATCGACGTACTAATCTCCCATAATCCACATATCACATTCCAGCCTTCGAAGATAATCCTTTAGAAGCACAATCTCCGATGAGTACCGGAGGCTGCGGATGCATCTGACAAGCACATGTGGTGCCGACATAAAGAAATCCGAAAACAAAACAAAAAAAAAAAAAAGAAGCTGCAGCTGTAATTGAGGTGAAAAGAAAGCCCTGTGAGAGGTATGAGCTACCAATAGGCAGAAAGAAGGAGAAATCAAAATTTGGCCTCGCAGCCAATCGCATGAGTTCATAGGCTACAAGCCCGAAGCGCCGTGGATGTGACACTTAGCCTCAAGCAGGTAACCGTGGAGGGGTGCGGCTGCAAGGACAGGGGGAGGAGAAAAAACTCGAAACTCCCCCCATCCCCCCTTTAACATTCTCATCTCAACATTACAAGGATTCCTTGCAGCCGTTTTTGACTTTGCCTCGAATTCATTGTATGATCTGACCTGACGCGCTTCCGCAGATTGGTCACATGCAGAATCAAATCCTGTGGAAATGACAGAATCCATGAACAGCTCGAAATCAATCCACTCATCTTCGGCGTTTGCATGGATGCAGTCTGCCATCAGTTATGAGATCGATGTAACCCGAATACGACTTCAAGTACGGAGTAGAAGCAACGGGTATGCGCGTCATTGGGCAGGACTGTGGATTCGTATACTAAAGATATCAGCCTCCGATTCATCATACTGTTATGGATCCAAGATAGCCCAGCTACTTCAAACTCCCTGAGCTCGTTCAACCAGTTCGCTGTTGGCAGTAGACATGCAGGCAGCCACCTCCAATCACACGCTAGTCCAGGATTCGAAGTCGAGGATTTGAATTCGGGCTGGAGTCGAGGCTTCGCATGAGCGGCAAGTTGCATCAATCATTACAACGGAGAAGTTTCCATCGATGTCTCAAAAGGGCTATCTGAGACTTTCGAGGGTCGTCCTGGAACCAGAACGTTTGTAAACCAATTAGTGTCACGATTGAACCCCGAGGATGCCGGGAAAAAGAAAGGAAAGAAAAGAAAAAAGAAATTATGAGGTTGCACGTAAATGGAAAAAGAGCAACTCCAATTGCAAGTCAGCTGATATGAACCTATGAGATACCTGCAGCCCGGTTCCCATTGTCACTGCGGTCGTCTTTTTTTCAATGTCCTGTGGGAATGGAATGTTCCAATCCATTTTTATGTTGTAAATGAGATGGCCATCTTTTCTTTTCCTTTTCTTTTCCTATTGGGATACGGGATATGTTGTATAGGCAAGTATAAAAAGTCAAGCACTGTAGAATATCAGATACTATTCGAAACTCGGCACTTAATAGATCCCCCTGAAGCATAAAATGAACTCAACAAGCTAGACAAGTGCTGACTTTGAGCGACAGTGGAATGATATCATGGTGCATTTCTAAACGAGGCCACTCAAGACCAAAAATGGTACCTGACAGGCACGAAAAGGCTGTAGCCTTAGAGACCACAAGCTCCACAGTTGGTTCTTTAAGATTACCTGATGCGTGGACAAAAGTAAAGGATTAAAGGATTTCATTATCCATTACGATCTGCATAGCTATCACATGGGAAAAATAATAAAGCGCTACGTGGCGTTCCATCCTCGAGTCACCGTATGTGACCCTATGGTATAGCCACGGGAAACGGGAAAAAGCAAAGAGATAAGGGCAGAAACAAATTATCCAGCTAATAAAACGCCCACTAGTGGCAGCTTCCATAACCATACCGCGGTGCTCACGTGAGGATCCCGCGTGCTTGCCCATGGAGCCACGACATAAAAACAGCAGGGGGAGAGAGGGGGGAGAAGAACAAACAAACAAACACCTTGATCCATCCTTCCACCCAAAGCCAGGACGCCTGGGTAACCCCGAGATCATAAAATCGTTGGAATCACGCCGAACTCATGTGTCGGCGTTAAATCATAAAATATGGAAAAAGCGGAGAGTAAAAGCAACCGAACCAGGAAACTAAGTAATTTCAATCACTGGAAGTATTCATTGGGCAAGGCTGCTAGCATAGCAATAGTTCCCAGACCACCCAGCAGAGCGCTGACGACAGCTGTGGTGGCGTGGCTTGCCAAGGACTTTGAGGCTGGGTGATTAGACTTGATTCGCTTTGCCGGGCGCTCATTCTCTGCATTTCCGTTCTCAGCAAATGCAGAGACATTCTCAGCAAGTGCAGAGGTGATCGCATCCTTGGCTTCGGAGGGAATAGTGTCGGGGTTGAGATCTGGCTGACTAGCTGGCTCTACAGGCAGCCGCTGAGCATCTTGAGAAAGACTGGGTTCAGGAGGCGACGATTGCATCTCTGTTGCAGTACGCTTCAAGTTGGATGTTCTGGACGTTGCCAGGTGAGGCACAGAGGCATCCTCCACGGAAGCACTGGTCGAGAACGGTCCATCATGATAGCGATTCTCGAATTCATGGGACAAGGACGGTACCCCAACAGTGCTCTCAATCTTTCGTTGCATTGGAGGGTATTTGTTTTCACATGATCTTGGCAGTTCACCAGAAACAGCGTATGTCGGGAACCGAGCACCTGGGTTTGTCATACCAAGGGCAGTCTGTGTCATCAATGGGTTGCTCTCGATCCGTGCGGGGTTCACTGACTGACCCCCAAGAGCCTCCTGGTACAATGATCGTGTGTCAGTCTCTTCGGGTAGATGCTTGGACACCTCGACGGCATCAGTGTGGTCGGCGTCCCCAGAGGAACGATCAGAGTCGTTTTCAGATTCATCGGAGGCCTCATTATCTTCCTCCAAGTCCTCGGCATCTTCTTCCTCTCCGTCATCTTCGTCAAAGTCTTGTACCGACACCTCATAGTCGGCTCCATAGTCGGCTCCATGAATCGATTCGTTGTCGTACGTCTCATACGGATATACGCCGTAGTCCTCTGACATTGAATCACTGAGACCATCTAACTCAGACACATATCCGTCACTGCGCTGGGCTTCTTCGTCTGAATCGAGGGACTCGTCATCAGTGAGCATATGTCGATTGTTAAATGTCGGATCCCAGTAAGGCATCGCCTCGCACCATTGATCTCCGACCATTTGGGGCTCCCAGTTCCTTATGATCCAGCATTTGTGGTCGTAATCATCGTCTTCATGCACGAGCGCCTGCTTCACTTCCTCGCTGAGGAGCTCTTCTGGCTTCTCAACGATCCACCACCAATTGTTCATATCCTCGCCGTCATCGTCATCGCAGATGATCCAATACCTTCGCTTATCGACTGACCAGTACCTAAGGAGGCTACCGGGCATACGATGGAATGAGGTGTCTGATTCTTCGGAGTCATGCTCCCAATGGACTTCTGTCCCAATGCAAGGCTTGAAGGTAATGTCGTCTCCTAGCCAGTAAGAATCTTTGGAAAGAGAACAACGGCGCGCGGCGTGAATAATGCGTCTTTCATGATCAACGTCGGGTATCATATTAGATTCACCCCAAGCCATGTCTGCCAGGCGCATGAACATCGGCCGCATAATGGTCCAATCGCTGTATTGGTCTTCCGGTACTTTCTGGTAACAGGTTGCAGGGAAAATATCTGCCTCGTCTGTTGGCTGAGCAGATGGAGGTTCGGTAGAGGCCCGCTCCGCGGTAGATGGCTTATCGTCAGAGGGCGGTTTAGTATCAGACAGCAGACTAGGAAGATCTGGGACTAGTGGTGTAGGACCGGGTACAGCCTTTGTGATAGACTCCTCGGTAGAAGAGGAACCACCCCAATGGAGCTCCGGCTCGTCCTTTGCATGTTCGTCGCCTTGGACACTCGGAACAGGAGAGACAGGAGATGTATCCGCAGGCTGCAGAACAGTAGTTTCGCAAGGTCGGGCAGCCGACTCTTTAGAGGTGTTATCACTGGGGATATCGGCAGCTTCGACATCGCTATCGTCCTCGGGGACAGAGAAACTGTTGGTTGACGGACTTGGATCCAATTTGATGGAAATGTCATCATCTGGAATGGCCACATGCTGGGGTTTGAGCCACTGAACCTTGAACCGGACTTCGATGGCCTCAAACACCTCTGTACCTAGTTAGTGTCGGTATTATTAGGCTGAGATCGACATCACTTACCCTGACCACGGTCGACGTCGACACCAAATCGGATGATATCCCCATTGGACAGCGGGGTATCCGCATCTGTCACCAGTTTGATATCATTCAAGTATGTTCCGTGCGTTGAGCCACAGTCGGTAATGAAAACCATCTGTCAAAGATGTCAGCGAGGCTGTATGGTCGGATTTGGAGGTTGGAGCTAACCTTATGGTCCGTCGGAATGTTAAGAAAGGCATGGTCACGAGACATCACCCGGGACTCAAACCAAGCGTTCTCTGGCGCGGGACTCCGTTTTCGAGTCTCACGCTTCGAGGCACGTCCGATGGCCACGGTCTTATCATTGTCGGTGATGGTGAGGGTACGCAGAGGATGGGTGTCTTCGAAGAGGGGGATAAGCGTCACAGTGGCTGTGAATTCGAGTTGTCAGTTGAAGCCAGGTGACTGTTGAGTGATCCGAGTACTTACCGCGTGGGTCCGACATGGCCAAAGGATGAATGATGGTACTGTGGAGGATCTGGAAAGTAGAAATAGGAAGCTGTTTGCTTCTAGACGATGGTCAGACTGAGAGATAGAATGCTATATGTGATAGGAGAGAACATGATAGCAAGGTAGAACTAATAACAAAGCATGGGAGGATGAAGGGTAAGGGTGGGGAGGAGGGGCAGGAGGTTAAGGGAGTTGGAGACAAAGGCAGCTTACCTGGGTGTTTCCAGGCTGCAACGCGATCACATGGATCAGTTGAGACAGCCGGGAGATAGCAGATGTATTGTAGAAAAAGTAGTTTGCAAGCAGAACAACTCAGAGCAGCAGATACGAAAAGTTGTTCCTAAGCACAGAAGGTGTGGAAGGGAAAGGGAAGGAAGAGGGGTAGATTCATGAATCAGGTTGAAGTTAGGTTCACCGCTGACAAGGCGGTCGTTTGGGGATGGCCAGGGTGGTAAACCCCTTTGAAATATAAATCAACTTAGACCTCAGTTACTGGTAAACCTATTCAAATTTCCAGAGTGTCAGAATTCAACAAGAAACTAAGAAGTAAAGTATCCGGAAGCTCAGGGACAATGAGGTATGTATGAGAAGTGATAGTATAAGATAAGCAAATGACGCCGTTGGGCTTATTTCAACACGCATATACCCTGGCTCAACGGGACTTCCCTACTGGATATAGACCATCGAAATAGAAATAGTATATATCTATATATCAACTTACTTATTGAACCTTTTGATGATTCAGTTCCTTTCTTCTTTCGACTTGTCAAGTATTAAAATCAAAACAGAGTCCGGAGATGCCGATAAGGGGTGGGGTCAGCTGATGTGGATACTCACGTCATGGGTCATCTGCACATGGAGTACTATAATGCTACTACTACATACTACTAGTTAACTACTAGTAGTTAGTTAACTAGTTAAGGGGAACTATATTTAGTTATACTCTACTTGCATAAATAGCAATAACAACCTTGGAAAAGTAAGCTAATCTGGTGTTAATGAGCACTCTCATTTTCCTCTATGGTACACAAATTACTACATGGTCAAACCCCAATGCACTTACCCGGGCTCGGTTTGCCGTCAAACGGCCCATCCCATCCCGAGTCTTATCTCAGACAGACCCAGTACCAAAACAAAAAGAAAAGAAAAGAAGGCGGACGGGGAATATGTCAACCGATAGTAAATACATGCGGAGAGAATAGTGGACCGGGGATCCAAAGATACCAAAACCGGAGGAGAAAAAGGCTTAGACAAAAAAAGTACCCAAACCGGGGCAAAAGAAAGAAGCGAAGGAGCGAAGGACTAAGATGATCCGCTGACTTTCTTACATGCCAGGAGCACCACCGTTCATGGCACCCATGGTGTTCAGGCGGGCAGCCAGCTGGGGGTATTTTTCCTGAACCTCCAACTGGGTGCGGGTAGCCTCGGCATAGGAGATGGCATTGATGATCTCAGCCTCGGTGCGAGCCAGCTCAGCAGCGCGCTCGAAGTACTTGAGAGCCTGGGAGACCTTGCCCTGCTGGAGAAGAAGCTGGGCCATGGTTCCGACAGCAATATCGCACTCGGGATCAATGATCAGAGCCTTCTGGCAGAGGTTCTCAGCCTCCTGGAAGTCGTGCTTCCACTGGAACAAGGCAAGAGCCTTGTTGATCAAAGGCAGGACGTTGATACCCATGGGCTTGCTCTGCTTCTCCATCTCAACAGCCTTGTCAAACTTCTCAATAGCCTCGGAGTAGTTCTGCTGGTCAAGCAGAAGCTCGCCGTAGTAGTTGTATACATCGGGGACTTCCTCAAAGTTCTTTACTGTCCGGCGGAAAGTGGCCATCGCTGAGGCGACGGAACCCATCTTGTATTGTGTCACACCAAGTTGGATGTGGGAGTAAATGAACGACCGGTCGAGGTCGATCGACTTCTGGTAGTCCTTAGCGGCCTCGGCAAGCTCGGTCAGGATGAAGTGCAGCTGGGCACGGTGGTAGTAGATATCGGGGTCGTCCTTGTTGTGGGTAATGGCAAGCTCGAAGTCATCGGCCGCAGCGTCCTTGTTACCAAGCTCCAAGTGCAAGCTGGCGCGCTTGATATAGCTCTGAACCAGAGAAGGCGAAAGCTCAACACTCTTGTCCAGATCGACCAAAGCGCCAGTGGCATTACCGCCGAGGTAGGTGAAGGTAGCTCGCATGTTGAGGGCCAATCCTTCAAATTCGCCGAGCTCGCCGAGCTCAAGTGCCTTTTCGAAAGCGGCGGCAGCCTCTTCGTAGCCATCGGCAGTCTTCTTGCCCATAGCGATGAGACCCTTACGCAGCTGGCCTAAACCGGACTCATCGCTCAGCTCAACCGACTCCTCCAATCCCTCGGGCAGAACCTGGGGGCGGAAGCTCTGGAGGTAGTTGGAGACAAAAGTGGCACTAGGCAACTTCTTGGTGCGCGCCTCCAGAATAGCCTGGCTCTTCTTCTCGGCAACCTTCTTCAGCAGCCGTTCGAGTGAGTTGCGGCTCACGTCGTTGGAGAAGGCATCAATGATGCAGCTGGCTGTGAAGTCGAGAAGAGCCTCGCTGTACTTTTCGAGGTGCTCGTAGGCAATGGCTCTTCGGTTGAGGGCCTTGACGTATTCGCTGTCCATGGCGAGAGCGGCGCTGGTGTCCTCGACGACCTTCTCCCAGTTGGATTGGACGTTGTAGCAGGCGGCACGGTTGGAGTAGAATACGGGATCGGGCTTGCAGATAATGGCCTTGCCGTACAACTCAATTGCGTTGGGGTAGTCCTTGATTCCGTAGGCCTTGTTACCAGCAGCCTTCAACTTGGCCGCATAGGCGTTCCGGGTCTTAACTTGTCAGCAAAAGTGTGAGAAAGAAGATTGTTTGACATACCTCTTCGGACAGCTCTCCAATAGTTGCTTCATCCACTTCGGGAAGCTCATCAGTGGGCTCCTCTGCCTTTTTAGGGGTCTCTGAAACCTTGTCAGTCATCTGACAACCGTGTTTAAACAAGAGCACATACCATCCTTCACTGGTGCAGCCTTTTCTTCCTCAGCCTTCTTCTTTTCCTTCCGTCGCTGGTTCTTGCTCTTCTTGGGTGCTGAGGGGGTGGATTTGCTAGAATCGTTCAGGTAGTAGACGACACCCGCGCCGGTCACGACAACGGCAACGCCGGCAATGGTGTAGACAACGGCCTTGTTGTCTGAGACCCAGTTAGTGATGCGATCCCAAACCGATGCCGATGATGATTCGGTCAGCTTTGATGTATCAATCACCACATTTTGGGCGGGCGTAGGTAACGGCAATTCGTTCGACATGATGTGTAAAGGAACCAGGCAAAGGGAGCGACGCAGCTAGTTCTTTGAATGTATCAGATGTCAGTATTCAATCGTGAAGTCAGGCGCAAATAGGCTGAGATGGAAGACAAGGGATGCACTAACCAGACCTCGACAGAAGGAGTTAGAGATGGGGAAGTTCGGGAATGATGAAGCTCAGAGGAAAAGTCAAGGGTTCCGCTGGCCGGACCGGCCAATCATGCGCCATACGCCGGTAACACTCAAGTTCTCCACAACGCATGCCCGGATTGAACAACAGAGCTGGCTCATCGGGTCTTTTATATTCTTCCCCCTTCTCTTCTTCAAATTCCGTCCGAAGCAACATCGCTTGATTCATCTACTATCCGACAACACTGACTTGGTGACTACAGCAACGACCATAAGCCATTGACTTTCGCAAAAATGACCGCAAGCGCACAATCTTTCGAGATCTTTTCTTCCCTTCGCTTTGACCCGGGCCTTTCAGACGCAGCCTGTCGCCATGCATCGAGCTATCCAGATCCTCACAAATCCCCCTACTACCTCCTCGCCTACCATCAAGCCCGGCTGATAGCTGCTGCGGCTAATTTCCAATGGAACGATGCTCTAAACTGGCTGCAACAAGACTTGCAAAGCTTCGAGGAGTTCCTCGACGCGTCAATTCCGGACCGAAGCAAAGCGTGGAGGCTTCGAATTGTAGTGAACAACACAGGGAAAGCCAGAGTTGAGGCGAACCCAACAGCAAGCATTGATCTAATGAGTTTGTTCATTCCCTCTTTACATACAAACCCAAGCCTGCAGATATGGCGCGTCTATGTCGATGCCCAATCAACAACACCTTCCGTCTTCACTACACATAAAACCACTGCGCGTGATGAATATACGTCTGCGCGGCTGAGAGCGGGGATTAATTCGCCGACAGACCTTGCGGAAGTACTGGTTGTGAACCCGAATGGCGAGGTTATGGAAGGCAGCATCACTACGCCGTACTTCTTACGGGACCATATGTGGATCACTCCCCCGCTGAGCAGTGGCGGTAATGCGGGTACAACACGGAGGTATGCGTTATCTCAGGGTTTCTGTCTAGAACACACCATATCCCGAGATGAACTTGTGGATGGCGAGTTGTGTTGGTTGAGCAACGGCGTAAGGGGTTTCATTCAAGGCCAGGTCATAGCCAAGTAATAAACCCCATACTACATGGCATTCACCTACGTTGTATGCACCTACTTCAATAGGGATATATGTGAACTAGTCGATGTTTGAATGGTATTGGTAAATTGATGAAAAGGCTATGAAATCGTACGTATTTTTTTTCCGCTCCAGAAAATGCCCCCTTACCCATCTAGGTCTATTTCTTGGCCTTCTGGACCACCACTGGGTTGGGATTCCCCTTCCACTCAAGAGAGCGAGGACGCATGTACTCGGCCATGATCTCATCCGTAACCTGTGCCCTGCGCTCCTGGAATCCTTGGACATAAACCTGGAGCTCAGCGATACACTTCTGCTTGATCTCGCCGGTCATCATCTTTCCAGCCTCATAATCGGTACGGATGCGCTCCAGTTCCTCGTCATCCTCGAGGAAGAACGTCAAGTACTGGAATGGGATATCGTCCTTAGTGTTGCCGCCCAGCTCGCGCTGCAATTCGGCGGTGTCCTGGCCACCTGAGAAAGCGTGCTTGTTGATCTTGTTCTTGATCTTGTTAGGCGTGTCGTTCATGAAAATGGCGGAACTGTCGATACTGGCGGACATCTTGGATCCAGGACCTTGAAGGGCGGGAAGGAAGATGGAGTGGATGAGAGAGGGCTTCTTATACTTCATCTTCTCCGCATGTTCGCGGCACTGGCGGAAGTAGGGGTCTTGGTCAATGGCGCATGGAATCAAGCAAGGAATCGATGCCACCTTCTTCGTCTCGGTACCGAAGATGTGGGGGAAACTGGTAGAGAAGGCTGCAGCAGACTGGGTGGCACAGAAGTGGAACTCGCCAATGTTGTTGCTGTCGTTAAACCCGAATGTGCCCTTGACCTGGTTGATTGTAATTCTCTTCGCCATCCGGCACATGTTCTCGTAGAAAGCACCACCAATAAATTGGAAATCACTGAAGATAAATGTCTTCTTCATATCGAATCCAACAGCAATGATATCCTTGGCGTTTGCTTTTGTGTATCGCTTGGCGTCCTCAATCTCGATCTTCTGAGAGTGCATAAACTTCTCATCGTCGGTCATCATGATAACGAGGGGAACATCAAAGACATCCTGGAGCCATCTACGATTGAATCAGTTTCCGATATCTACCCAGGTGGTTATCCGAGACTAAACATACTTGGTGAACTCGAACGGCACAGTGTGTCCAACGTGCATGCTGTCGCTACTCGGCCCACGGCCAGTGTAGAGGAAAAATGGCTCGCCCTTCTCGTGCTTATCCAAAATCTTCGACAGGTCGCGGTGACTGAACACAATACTCCGGCGCATGAAACGGTGTGGCCGATGACCAGTCACTTTCTCAAAGCGCTCCAATAGAGCTGCATTGATGGGTGTGGCTCCAAACTCCCTCGTGAGCTTCTCATAGTCGACTGGCAACAGCTTGCCAGATTCATCAACTCCACCGGAAACATCGAAGGGCGTCACGATCTGGCCAACGGCCTTGCTGTCTGGGGTTTTCTCGTCGATGCTCAACGAGCTGAGCGCCGGAGGCTGGGTTGTTTCGTTGGCCATGGTTTTTTTTTTTTCTTCGTCTGGTGGAAATTGGTTAGTTCTAGGTCTTCAATTGCAGCAGTCTAAGGCCGGTTCTCACCTTATTAATGGTGGAGGAAATCGTGAATTTCTTTTGTTGCCCCTCTTGCAATATCGCGGGATGAGTCAGAAATCCCGCTATCAGTGGGTACTCTGATTGGTCTGTTCTATCCATTATCAGGTGACCGGTCCTAACCCCGCGAAAGCCTCCCTCGGTGCTTCTTACTGCTGTCTTTTTCAACTAAATTTCAGTCGATAAAAGTATGCGACCCTCCATTGGATGAGATAGTTATCTCTGTTGTGTCTGCACTGCATTCAAAGTTTATCTTTTCAAATAAAGTGCATCAAGAGGGATCTGCCGGAGGTATATAACTGGACACTCACTCCAGGGGTACAACTACGTTTTTCTTTTATCAACAATGAAGTAAAATAGATGAAATATCACGAAGTAGAGAAGGACTTCAGGATCTCGAAAAAAGTACATAATAGAGACTCGGATAACTTTGGCTTTCACCCATCAATGTAGGAAGTCTAACCTAGTTTCCATTTCATCTGTGTTATTAATGTCTATAAGACACAAAAATCATATTGCCCGCTATTCCAATGTTCACAAGGGAGTTCTCAGCAAATGGCCAGACAGGTTGGATCATTTAAAAAAGAGTACTCGTGGCGACTATAGGCGCTTGTCCGTGTCAAAGTCACATTCCAATGTGTCAACCCGTAGCCGTTGTTTTTCTGTGAAATGTCTCGCCTACTAGAGAGAAAGAATGTTGGTCTTAAATCACAGGAAAATGCTAGAAGATGAATGACGAACGTCATCTAGTTATATAGTCATTATTATCTTGGAAATTTAGTGTCAACCGATAGGATCTACGAGGGAGTTAGGGTTACCTGACTTGGTAAATCCGAGCAGGAATCAACACCACAGGATTCAGACTTAGTAGCCCTCTGCCTATCCTGTATTTTATCCTCACAGATCTAGAATTCCTCCTCATCTCGAGGATCATTACCTGAAGGTATTGTAGTCTTTATGCTCCCATGACAAGTATCCCGAGTGTAATGCATGATGTGTATGGCGATCACAGCGAACAGATATGTTCTATTTTCTCGCATGCAGCGGAGACACTGTCTTTTCAGCGTTCACGACTGGGGCATTCTTGGGCTGGCTGTTTCGATGTCTTTTCAGCGTTCACGACTGGGGCATTCTTGGGCTGGCTGTTTCGACAACAGGCGCGGGAGCTGAGCCTGGATCAGGACATGGATATACAATATTTGCTGGAGTTTCCTATTGAAAAGCTGAAGCTTCGGCTTCTTATTTCCGAGCTAGCAGTGGATGGTATGTCCATAGTATGTGCTAATTCCCTATTCAAAAAATCGATCCTAACTAACGTCGGACGTTATGTTTGGCTAGTTGAGTTGCTTAAATACAAATACCCCATAATCTTTGTCTAGACCTTTGAGATCGCCTTTGGCTTTGGGGGATCAGTCGCCAATCAGACAGACACGACGTTCCTCATGAATATCCACTCAAACTCCCCCGCCGCTACGGAACCAATCCCCAACCTCGTTCGATGTCTATTGGGCGCTGACATCCAGGCCGCTACGCTTCTACTTCTGCACAAGATGGGGAAAATGTTAGTTTCACATACTTGCTGGCGTAGCTTGGGCATTTTCTGAGATTCCACTGGCGTGGTGGTGAACTCGAACGGTGTACAGATTCGAAACATCGACGGTCTAGAGTCAACATGATCCAAAGGTTGCTGAGCCAATTTGCTCTACCCTGCTAGAACACCCCGGCTTCCTGCATGCTACGAGCCCCATAATCCCAGTCCAAGTGTGATATAGATGCGCTGTACGGAGGATATCAGTACACTTTCCTACCTCACGGTACGGAGTACTTCGTAAACATTCCCTCCATCCCACCAACCACTACCCAACTTGCCCCGCGCACCCGCATCGGGCATCACCCCACCCCACTGCACCCGAAACTTCATGCAGCAAACCGCCGCTAAGCACGCCTTGTTCGATGTCTGTAAGCCACTGTATGCGATAGTACAACCCCCTTACGCCTTACGCGGGGCCATCGAGTGATTCTCCACAATATAGAAGCCAGCGGGCTGTATAATTGGTGACATGTGTCGGTTAGTATCAGGTCAGGATAACGTCGTAGACTTCCGCGGATATGTGGGTCAGCCATGTTTGAAATTATGCCAATAAGCTTGTCTTTCCGGTCTGCTGCAGATGCGAGTCGCTTTTTTCTCATAAGTACGGGACACGTTATCGATAGTTTGGTATATGAGGGAGAAAGAGTTGGGATTTGATGTCAATTTTTGAGACTGTCGCAATTCCGGAGGGGTCCGATTGACACGTAGTTTTGTCGTGTTGGATGGTTGAGGACTGTGGGAAAGGAGACCCGCCTGCCTTGTTGGTTTCAGGGGGTTTGACATTGGAATATATTCTGAATCGGATTCCAAGGTCGGTTTCACTGCGTCAGATAATTTCCGTGGTGGGGAGGGGCCGAGGCTATGGTCTCATAATTCTTTGCTCCCCCGTGGACTTGGACTTGAATTTGAATTTGGACTATAGACTCCTCGCTAGTAAGTTTCACTCTTCTTTCTCATGTAGTACAGAGTACAGCAGAAAGGTCCAAAGAGCTGTAGAACTCACAGTATGCAGGGGCAAAGGACAAAGCTACCGAAACTTACTGCCTCGATTTACTTTCCAATATTAGGAATGGTAGAAATAATCATTAGTATCAATATATTATTTGCCACTTATAACCCTTACGAATATTTGATTCTAATTATACACATTTTTAAGTGGGTTGAGGTGAAGAAGATCAGCTCTAGTTGTGTTGTAGGTATGTCTCCGCCTCAGCAAAGTGTCTCCGCCTAAGCAAAGTACGCGGCAATGAAACCAATGCCAGCCCATTCTGCAGCTAGCTCAATTCAGACTAATGGGTGCCCCAATGTACTTTTTGTATCTTGATTAGTTCGTCTGTGACACTACGGAGTACTGGGTCCCCGTATCCTTCGAATGTCACTCTTTTCTAGGGGATTGTGGTTCACCCAACATAAAGATAAATAAATACCTCATTTGGATTTCAATGATTCACTCCTGTTCTAAAGATAACCAATTCGGCGGCCTTGTACGGAGTAGGAAAAGGGGTAGCTGGATGGACTGGAAGCTTGGACAGTAATCCAAGACATACAAACACCCTAGACCCATCATGAGGTTGTATCAAGCACCTAGAATATGTTATAAGGAGGTTCAGCCTGGTGTGTCAGCCAGTCAACGTTAACGGTTCCCTCCCTCTACGGCGTAGTGATAGGTGTCGGGTGATGCGGCGGACCAGGCAACATGGATGATGGTTGGCTCCTCTCCAGCTTAGGGATAGATTAACTTCAACAGACGGATGTAGACAGATGACATGAGTCGGTAGTTAGGACGTCACTGTTGAATCAAAAGACGCGTGCGAATCAGAAATGACCAGCTTGACGCATGACACCCTTGGTTAATCACTCGTAACTGGACGGGGATCTTCACCTATTTTCATTTTGAGTGTCCAATCTCGTTAAATCAAAACTGGATTATCTCAATTTATGATATGAAGAAGTCATTACTTGATATTTTCTTTTTCTTTTTTTTTAAAAAAAGAAGAAGAAGAAGAAGAAACTTACGGGTCATCAGGCGGTTGCGCGTGGAGAGATAGATACCTGGGTGAAATATTGGTTTCACAGGTGCCTGGCCCGGAGCTTTTAAGAAAGGACATTTCCTTCATTTCTTGTATTTCTCATATTTCTCATATTTGACTGATTTGACTGATTTGACTGATTTCCCTGATCTCCCTGATCTCCCTGATCTCCCTGATTTCTCTCAGAGTGGGTGTTTTGGGCAAATCTAAAGAGCTCCACTATTAAAGCGGCACATTCGTCATCCCGTTTCCCCATCCATGGGATCTTACCGTCTTGCCTTTTGAAAGAGTCTGGATGTGGGAACATCAGAGTCCTCGGACTCAGAGAATTATACCAAGTAAGAGATTCTTTTTTATATTTTATATTTTTATATTATTTTCTTTCTGTCTTGTCATTTCCAATTCCCTTTTTTTTTTGTTCTATTCTTAAATACTTGGTTAAATACTTGGTTAAATACTTGGTGGAGTTGCCCACCCCGCAAGTGCTTGATGCACACTAACCGGCAAAAAAAAAAAAACCAACAGATGCGAAAACATTCTCCCTCAGATTCTCCTTTTTCATTTTCCTTTTATTCATCGTCTTCGTCATCTTCATCTTCTCTTTACCCTTCATCACGCAGTAGTTCATTTTCCCCAAGTAAGTGGCTCAATTACCCATTCCGGTTTGTATTTCCCATGGATGTTCCGGGTGTCTTTCCCACTCTTCTACCATTGGCCTATAACATCCCTACTGGTTGTATATTCTCAAACTTTTCTCCCCCCTTGACATGTCCATGGATACTATTAAAACCAATATTCTGTCGGCTATCGCGACACGCTGTCATTCTTCTCTAGACACGTGTGGCATTCCCATTTCCATGCTAATTAAAATTTAGGCCTATCATCGGCCTCGCACCGGCGTTCAGCATTCCAACCAAGAGATCATCTGGAAAGTCTGATCACCAAACACGGCTACCCCACACCTGTGTCACTCTCCTCTCTGCGAGATCTGACAGCCACCTCGTCTACTTATAATCCCCCTTCGCCACCTCGTCGGACCCGTTATCCGGATACCATTCCGATCGACCCTTTTGACTCGCTTACTTTATCTTCATCCACGAGACCCATTCCTATTCCAAGACGCCCTGATCCAATATACGAGGACCTTCCAGTGACACCACTCACCGGTCGATTTGATCACGACTCGTATTTTGACGATTGGGAACGTGCGTCTCAATCCGCCAAGTCCCGACAAATATCATCAATCCGGCCTGTCCGTCGCGGCCGGTATCCATCGCGGCCCCCGCCATCCTCGACAAGGATGCGTTCTGATAGTTCACCTTACTACTCCCCGGCTGCCTCGCCTATCATGTCTCCACGACGCTCAAACTCTCCCCAACCAACTCGCTCACGGACTCAGAACCCATCCAAGACCAAGCAAACCCAGAATTTCCATCTCGGCAGCCTGCCCCGGTTCCATCCCGCCGTATATCAGTCGAGCAATACTTCCCACAACGCCACTACCCAGCCTCCGTCTCCTCGTCAACCTCGACAGCCTACCTACCGCAATGCAGCCGGGTCACGCGACATGATGTGGCAGTACCGGGAGTTCATCGAGGGCGTCCACCAAGGTCCATCGGCGCCCCGTTTGGATCCTCTGGTCAGCCCAGGCCCCGTCACGCCCTTGGCGCTAGAGGCCGGTGACTACCTCGCCCATGGCTCGATGAACAACACATCCGAGCGGACTCCACGAGATGTCCCAAAGAACTCCGGTCCTCCGGCTGAGCTGGTGGAAAAGCTCATTGCCTATGAGGAGAAGGCTCGACAGAAGGCTCGAAAGTCCGCCAAGGGCCGGTAATAGATCTATCCCAACCCGGATTTGCATTAAAAGGTTGTTTCTGTTTATTATCCATTAGAGAAGTGGGATCCCCTTGGAGCCTTCATTTCGTGCCTGTTTTTATATCTGCTTTTGCTTTTGGTGTTCTGGAACAAAATAAGCTCGCTCCACACGCCTGATACAGTGTGTATGTTGTCTTTTTTTTTTTTGGTTGTTTTAATTTCTTTCTTGCTCTGATTTTTGCATTCTCGTCATTCTCACTCGTTTTGATTAAACATCCTCAGCCTCGGCCGACTACTGTGTTTGATCTTGCATCACGACATCATGTATCTAAATTATATACCCTGCTCTAGTCCAGCCTCGGACCTTGATATCCAAGTAGAAGCCAAGTATCAACCTTCAATACAAAACATTGTTTTGTGGTTTTATTTCTTGGTTTAATTACCCACAGTAACAGTTACCCAACGCGTGCTATGACCGTACGGTTATAGGGCCAACGTCTGAGGCGTGGTGGACATGTTGGCGGGATGTGCCCGTTGGGTCATATTCGCTTCATTTGAAATGCGCTGTTCCTTGCGTGTTAGAATACCATTCCCATCTCCAGGTAAGCCGGGCTATATGACCTTTCATCTTGTTTTCGTTTTTCGGAACTTGTATGGCTTCCCCTAGCGAGCCTTTTATTGAGTCTTATCCTATTGTCTTTGGGATTGGTCCCAGGCAACACATATTGTACGGGATCAGATAAGAGATGATATACATCTGGGCAGGCAAACTCTTAAAGTTAATCCCCAGATTTACTACTCTACTACGCCATATAAGGTTAGCTTGAAAAGTCACTTCCAATATGCGCCTAAGGCACCACATGCGATTCGGAGGAATACCCACTCTCCCCGAGAGAGGAATCTGCGGGGCCCAAACTATCATTAAACCAACTCCCCTCACTGATATTTTTCTCAATTACTCCATTACAGTCATATATATACCCCAGCTTCCCCAGAAAAGGCGCGCCAGTTTGGAAAATCCTCCTTGGCAGCCCAGCAACCCCAAATCACTATCCTTATCGGCATCCGTCACACATTTCGATTTGGCCGCCCGCGCGTTGCGCACAAGCACCCTACAATTTGCGCGAGGCGTCCATTCTGTGACGTATTGGATCTGCGATCCACG